TTTTTCCCCTAGATGTGAGAATCTGGTAAAGAGTTTTTTAAGAGATGACTATACTGTCTTCATCTCCATATTAGGTCATTGTAATGGACTGAATGTTTATGTCCCCACAAATTCATACATTGAAATCTTCAAGGTGGGGCTTTGGGGAGGTAATTAGATCATGAAGGCATAGCCTTCATAAATGAAACCAGTGCCCTTATGAGAAGAGACCAAAGAGGTAGCTAGCTCTGTTTTCCACCGTCTGAGAACACAATGAGAAGTTGGCAGTTTAAAACTCTGAAGGGGATTTTCACCAGAGCCTATCCATGGTGGAACTATGATCCAGGACTTCCAGCCTCTAGAACTGGGAGAAATAAATATTTATCATTTAAGCCATCAAGTCTATGGCACTTTGTTATCTGAGCTAAGAATGGCATGGTTTTTTTACATCCTAGAATTATAAAAATTCTAGGTTAATAAGTTAATTGTAGGTTAATAAGTTATATCATCTTCCTAGCTGGTAAATGAAGTTTAAAGGAAATTGCCCACAGGATTCTCTGATGCTGGGTCTTACCTTCCAGTGAAGGTCTTGACTCCCTTCCCATGTCAGAGTCCAGGTTCCTGGAAACCAGAAACTCTGGTGAAGTAGAGCCAACCTGAGATTGTCTTTGTGCTTATGATTAAGCTCATCAAAGGCATTTCTTGCATGTTTGTGTATAGCTATTTACAAACCTACTTATACTGTTATAGTCTCTATCCATTAATAATTTAACAATTTAAGAAAAACAGTGAATATGAATATAAATGTTATTGCTCTGGTGACATGCAGACAAACATGAAATATTTCACTCGATTTTGTGGAATGTTTTGAATGAAGGACCATACAAATATTGTGCTGGTACTGTATCTGCCAGTGTAAGTGTGTTTAGCAACAGTAAGTAAAAGGGACATTAGTTCTTAGGAGTAATTACTGTAAGCAAGACTTACTAGGAAAATTTTCATTGTTCATCATAGAATTAATGGTAATACAAAATGATTTGATCATCCTAGGATTGTTTAAGGGACCATATAGCCTAGATACTAAAAGCCTGGACTCGAGTGTCGGGTTCAGCCATTTGCTAATTGTGTGGCCTTGGGTAAATTACTAAAACATTTGGTGCCCGAGTTTTCCTATAGGCCAAGAAGAGATAATATGGTACATCCCTCATGAGGCTGTTAGGAGGATTAAGTGAGATAAAATGATTAAAATGCCTAGATCATGCTATGGTAAGCACTCACGTTTCTGGTTAGAAAATATTATACTCTAAAAAAATATTATATACTTTATATCTTAAGTAGATAGCTCCATTAGGCAGAAAATCAATAAGACATAGTTGAACATAATATCTCATCAATCAGCTGGATGTAATTGACATGTTTAGACCACTTTATCCAACAACAGTAGAATATGTATTCTTCTCAAGCTCACATGGAGCATTCACCAGGTTAGACCACATTCTGGGCCATAAAACACAACAAATTTAAAAGAGTAGATATCATACATTGTTTGCTCTCAGGCCACCATGGAATTTAGCTTAGAAATCAATAACATAAAGACAAGTAGGAAATTTCAAGTTACAGAGGTTATACATAATAACCTCTTTATAAATAATAGGTCAAAAAAGTATATCAAGAGAAATTTTAAAATTCTTTGAACTAAATGAAAACATGACATCAAAATGTCAGATGCACAGAAAATGTTGCTTTAAAGGAAAATGTATAGCATTGAATGCATATATAGAAAAGAAGAAAACCCCGAAATCAATAATCTAAATTTCCACCTTAGGAAACCAGAAAATAAAGGGGAGCAAACTAAACTTGAAGTCCACAGAAGTAAAGAAGTAATAAGAATTAAAGCAGAAATCAGGGCATCTAGCTGGCTCAGTCGGTGAAGCATGCAACTCTTCATATCCGGATTGTGGGTTCAACTCTCATGTGGGGTAGAGAAATTACTTTTAAATCATTTAAAAAGGTGGGGGGGTGGCAGCTGGGTGGCTCAGTAGGTTACGCGCTCAGTCATGATCTTGTGGTTCGTGAGTTCCTCAAGCCACGTGTCAGGTTCTGTGCTGACAGCTCAGAGCCTGGAGCCTGCTTCTGATTCTTTGTCTCCCTCTTTCTCTGCCTCTCTCTTGCTTGTGTGTGCTCTCTCTCAAAAATAAAAAACATTTAAAAAATTTTAAAAAGCAGAAATTAATGAAATTGAAAATAAGATGTCAGAGAAAAGTAATGAGACCAAAATCTAGTTCTTTGAAAAGATCAATAAAATTAATAAGCCTCTAGTGAGGCTGAGAAAAGAGGGAGGATACAAATTCTTAATATCACAAATAAAAGAGGTATCACTTCACATCCCTTGGACATTTAAATAATAATAAAGGAATACTGTGGACTCAATGCCCATGCCTATATCTGTAGAAAAAAGTCAAATAATTAATTTCCTTTCAAAACAGAAAGTACCATGCCCAGATGGTTTTACTGGTGAATTCTACCAGACATTTAAGGAAGAAATTGTGCCATTCTGCACAATCATGTTCAGAGGATAGAAGCAGAGGGAATACTTACTAATTTATTCTTTGAGGCCAGCATTACTCTAATATCAAAACCAGACAAAGACATTATACAAAAACTACATATCAGTATCTCTCATGAACATAGATTCAGAAATCCTCACAAAATATTAGCATTTCAAATCCAACAATCTTTTTTTTTTTTTTAACTTTTAGAGAAACAGCATGAGCAGGGGAGAGTGACAGAAGAGGGGAGAGAGAGAGAGAGAGAGAGAGAGAGAGAGAGAGAGAGAGAGAGAGAGAGAGAGAATGAATCTGAAGCAGGCTTCACGCCCAGTGTGCAGGTCAAAGCAGGGCTCAATCCCACGACTCTGGGATAATGACCTGAGCCAAAATCAAGAGTCGGACATTCAACCCAGGTGCCCCAAACCAGTAATCTTTAAAAAGTCTTACATACCATGACCAAAAGGGGATTATCCAAATATGAAAAATTGGTTTAACATTCAAAAAAATCATTTCATGTAATCCATCACATGAACAAGCTAGAGAAGGAAAAGCAGATGATTTACCAGTAGATGCAGAAAAAGCATTTGACAAGATCCAGCACTCATTCATGCTTAAAACACACACATACACACAAACTTCCAGTAAATTAGGAATAGTGGGGAACTTCCTCAACTTGATCAAGAATATCTGCAAAAGCCTATAGCTAACATCATACTTAATGGCAAGAAAGTAAAAGCTTTCCCATTAAGATCAGAAACCAAGGAAGATGGCCTCTTATCATTCCTTTTCAGTATAATACTGGAATTCCTAGCTAATGCAATAAGACAAGGTAATAAAAGGTATACAGATTGGGAATGAAGAAATAAAACTACCTTTTTTCACACACGGTACAATCATCTATATAGAAAAAAAAGACAAAAACAAAAAAACTGGAACTAATAAATGAATAATAGCAATGTTACAGGCTAGAAAGCTAATATATGAAAGTCAGTTGCTTTCCAATGTGGCAGCAGTTGTACGAATGGTGAAACTAAAAACAATTTTCCTGTAAACCTAAAACTGCTCTATTTTTTTAGTGTTTTATTTATTTCTGAGAGAGAGAGAGAGACAGCATGCGCAGGAGAGGGTCAGAGAGAGAGGGAGACACAGAATCTGAAACAGGCTCCAGGCTCTGAGCTAGCTATCAGGACAGAGCCCAATGCGGGGCTCGAACCCACGAACCGTGAGATCATGACCTGAGCCAAAGTCAGACACTTAACTGACTGAGCCACATAGGTGCCCCTAAAACTGCTCTAAAAGAATAAAGTCTTTTAAAATATATGTTGAAAATATGGAATCTGAGTTCAGATAATACTCTTACCTTCCACCTTTTGATTTTTGAACACTCTTACCTTTCACCTTTTGATTTTTGAAGTGAGTAGTTTATGTTATGGTAACAAACAAACGAAATTTTCTCTCTAGAGAATTTGTTCCTTTAAATCTTACTCTTTCATGTAGAAAAATAGAATTCCTTATTTACTATTTGACATATAACTGGGTAGTAGTCTTTTATGCACAGTGAGTAAAATGCTTATCACTCACAAATGGATGCTGTTATTTTAATGTTAAAAAGTCAATGTGTAGGAGGTTTGGGGTGCCTGGGTGGCTGAGTTGGTTAGGCATCAGACTCTTGGTTTGAGCTCAGGTCATGATCTTATGGTTGTGAAATTGAGTCCCTCTTCAGACTCTGCACTGGGTGTGGAACCTGCTTGGGATTCTCCTTCTCTCTGCCCCTCCCCTGCTTGTGTGTATACCCTTGTGAGCATTCTCTCTATCCCAAGGGAGGGAAAAAAAAAGCGAAAGAGGTTAGGGACAGAAGGGGGTTGTGGAAAAGGAGGTGGGGTGTGCTTTTAAAAGGACATGAGGGGGCGCCTGGGTGGCTTAGTCGGTTAAGCGTCCGACTTTCGCTTAGGTCATGATCTCGCGGTTTGTGGGTTCGGGCCCCGCGTCGGGCTCTGTGCTGGCTGCCAGCTCAGAGCCTGGAGGCTGTTTCAGTCTGTGACTCCCTCTCTCTCTGACCCTCCCCTGCTCACGCGCTCTCGCTCTTTCTCTCCTAGAAATAAATTTTAAAAAATTAAAAAAAAAAATTAAAAAGACATGAGGGATCCTTGTGGTGATGGAACGGTTTTGGTATCTTGACTATGGTGGTATATGTGTGAGCCTATGGTAATAAAGTTCTGTAGAACTAAATACATAAACAAGTATAATGAAGCTGGGGACATCTCAAAAGGTCAGTGGATTGTATAACATAAATATATATTGATTGTGATATTCTACTTTAGTTTTTTGAAATATTATCGTTGGGGGAAATAGTAAATGGTACTCAAGATCTCTCTTAAAATCATGTGTGAATCTGCAGTTACAGTAAAATTAAAAAATGCATGTGCAACTATTATATAAAACTAATAACTGACTTTTTTTTTTTGTTTTTAGGTTGTTTCTGCCTCATTGATAAGTCATCATTGGCTTTGTAAGTTGATATTTTAATTTTTTTTATTCTTTGCCCTCAACGTATTGTATTTTCTGATTACATAAGAGTACTTTTGTAGAGAACCTGGAGCAAAGATTGGAGTATGGTCTGTGGTGTTTTTCAAACATATTTCCCAACACAACCCCATATATACCATAGGACTGGTGCTCCAGGAAACATTTGTGGGGAAATAGTGCTTTAAAATTTAGGAAATTGATAACAACGACAGGATCTATTGTACATTTTTCACAATGATAGCAAAAGAGAATAAGGACATTTGAGCTACAACAGAAGAAGTGTAACATAAAAAGACCTTAAGTACCTTAAAACAGTTGATATACAATTAAGCATAAGTAATTATTATAAATATAGTTATAAAACATAATTTTTAAAAATCTTGAAAGCAGAGGTGCCTAGGTGGCTCAGTCGGTTAAGTGTCCGACTTCGGCTCAAGACATGATCTCATGGTTCATGGGTTCGAGCCCCATGTCAGGCTCTGTGCTAATAGCTAGCTCAGAGCCTGCAGCCTGCTTCAGATTCTATGTCTCCCTCTCTCTCTGATCCTCACCTGCTCATGCTGTCTCTCTTTCTCTCAGAAATAAATAAAACATTAGCAAAAATTTTTTTTTAAATCTTGGAAGTAAAAATATGTATTTTTTCCTTGTTGTAGTCACCTGCTAATTCCCACATCACTCTTTCTCATTCCTCGAAGATTTAGCTCCTGGCTCACTGTCCTCCTCTCCAAGACTAATGTGTCCTAATTCTTGGTGATTTTATGGCCACTTTGGGGTCCTTCCAGTATCTTGATTTCTCACTTCCTTAACTTCTTCTCTTTCAATGATCTTGTTTCCCCAGCTACTTCAGTCCTGTCATCCCATGGTGATATTGCCGACTTAGTCATTAGCAATAACTGGTTCCTTCCATAATCTTGAGTTCAAGCATCCCATTCTCTACCAGGCCCTGCTCCCACCAACAAATTTTTAACTCTACCTAGACATTTCCTCACTCAATGTAAATAACCTGTACCCTATCATTAAAATCACCCATTTCCCCCACACTTTATCCCTCCTTCTTGCTTGACTATACTTTGCTATCTAAACCCCAAAGACTTAGTCTACCTCTTCCATGCCTTTAGCTGCCCTGCTGGTCATAGATGGACAAAAGTGACCAGCCATGCTCACTAGTCTTATTTTAACTGTTTTTATTACTTACCACAGTGGTCCCCTAATGTTTTCAGGCAGTTTGGACAATTAATTTCTAGAAGGACATTTAAAACCTATTTCTCTATAAACTTCCAGTTCCTCCTCTTCTGTTCTCCCTTCCACCTGATAACTCTGTTTTCATTGTCACTGATAAAATAGAAATACCTAAAAGAGAATTTCCATAAGTGCCCATCGTCACATCTACCCAACCACCTGCACCATACAGTCGGCCTTCTCTTCTCCTCCCTGGGTGAACTGCCCAAAACCAATCCAAAGCTTACTCTTCTACTTATGTTCTTAGATTCTATTTCCTTTCACCTACTCACGGATATTGCTATAGCACTTGTCCCTTCACTCCCCTGAATTATGGATTTCCTCCCTCCCTTACTTAAAAAAAATTATTTAACTCCCATCCCCTAGTTATCAATCTATTTCATTTCCATTTTCTTTAACACAGTTTTTCAGTCTTTCTGTCTATTCTATCTTGATCTCATTTCAGTCTGGCTTCTCAGCATTCTACCAAAACTGTCATGTCCCCAGTGACCTCCATGTTGCAAATCTCACAGTTCTCAGCGCTCATCTTACCTTACCTACTAGTAGCATTGACCTAGTCAGTCATGCTCCTCCCTAGTGTTCTGAGTCTCCACACTTTTCCAGCTGCCTTCCAGTTACCATGACCACTCACATTAGTCTTCCTTGCAGATACTTCTTCATTGCCCTGACTTCCACAGGGTGACCCAGGGCAGTTCCTACACTGTTTCTCTGCTTACACTTACTCCTAGCTAAGCTGGTTTAGTTTCATGGCTTTAACTACACATATATGCTGATAACTACCAGATTTGTACCTCCAGTGTGAACCTCTCTCCTGAACTTCAGATTTAAATATCCAATTCCTGAATGTCTAATAGGCATACCAAACCTAATCTGTCTACAATTAGGTTCCTCTCCACTCTCAACTAAACTTTCTTCTTCCTTAGTCTTCCTCATCTCTGTAAATGGCAACTCTATTCTTCCATTTTCTCAGGCCACACTCTTTGACACCGTTGTCATTTCTCTTTTTTCTCACCTTCTACATACCTAGCTGTCAGGAAATACTGTCAGCTCTAACTCAGATATATGCAGAAGATGACTACTTCTCACCATTTCTTCCACTATCAGCCTGGTCCAGACCATCCTCATTCATCATCTTTTTATTAAAATAGCCTTCCTACTGTTCTCTCTGCCTCCCCTTTTTTTGAGAGAGAGTGAGAGAGCACACACTCAAGTTGGGGAAGGGCAAGTGGAGAGAGGGAGAGGGAATTTTGAGCAGGCTCCACTCTCAGTGAGGAGCCCTATGCGGGGCTCAGTCTCACAGCTATGAGATCATGACCTGAGCCAAAATCAAGAGCTGATGCTAAACCTACTGAGCCAGGGGCTCTATGGTCTTTCTGCTTTTATACTTTCTTTCCTATAACCCCTTCTCCAAAGAGCAGCCAGATAAATTATTTAAAACCCTAAGTCTGATCATGTTACTTTTCTGCTCCAATGACTCCAGTGCCTCTCTTTATAGAGGTTTATCATCTTCTACATGGGCTCACCCCCATTACCTCTGACCTAACCATATACTGTGCCCCCTCACTCACTGCTTTACCCATCCCAATATTCTTGTTCCAGGTCAGGGTTTTGTAGTTGCTATTGCCACAAAAAGCCATAAGACTTGCTTCTTTACCTCCTTCAGATATTTGCTAAATTGTCATCTCCTCACCTAGGCCTTCCCTGACCAGCCTGTTTTGGTTTTGTTTTTTAAACATTCTTTAAAGTTTATGTATTTACTTTGAGGAGGGAAAGGGCAGAGGGGGGGGGGGGAGAGAGAGAGAGAGAGAGAGAGAGATTGAGAATCCCAAGCAGGCTTGTAGTCCGCACAGAGCCTGACACAGGGCTCAGTTTCACAAACCATGAGATCATGACCTGAGATGAAATCAAGAGTTGGATGCTTAACCGACTGAGCTACCCAGGTGCCCCAGCCTGTTTTGAATTGCCGCTCTTTCTCCCTGCCTTTACCCTTTTACTGGTCTTTATCTCTTAAGTACTTTAGTTTTTAATCACCATCTGAGATATATTTTGTTTGTCTTCCCTTCATTCAAAGATGAGCTCCACAGGTGGAGCAGGGGAAAGGGATTATGCAGTAGTTACTGACTTTGTCTAATATGCCCTTCTGTTGTTGCCTCCTGACTCACAAAGATGGGTAAGTGACTCACGTTGAGGCAGTCTTTGTATCTTGTCCTTCTAGTAGTATTCTAGTCCTAGGATGGGCATGTGATCCAAGCCAGGCCAACTAGAGTTTTCCATGCGATTTTGATTTTTCCTTCTGAAAGTGACAATAAGTAAATAATTTATATCTTGTCATGGATCCTCTTAACTGTTAACAAACCATTAGACAAAAGATAAACACAGCCATACACTATAATACCTTTGGAAGACTTAAAAAAATTGCCCATGTACTAGGTTACAAAAAAAAGAATATTAGGGAAATACAGAGGAGAGTAAGAAAATTTTAAGCAAACATGATATAAAATTCTATATAAATGAACTTAAACCTTTTAGTGATTAAGATACTAAAGATTATTTTAACTTGGTTTTCCTGTCAGATTGATTCTTCCTACTGTTCATGTAATAATTACTTCCATGCTACATAACTTCCACAGCACAGAGAGAGAAAATAGATATATTCAAGAAATTTAACTGTCGTTAAAATGTAATGGCCAACACAAAACCTTTAAAATATTGTCAGTTATGAGAATAAATGTAAAAACCTACAAATAAAATTTTATAAAGACCTATCTATTGTAACCAAATAAGACTTACCTTGAGTCAAAAAATGATTCAGTGTTTGGGAATCTTCTGGAAAAACTACACCCTATTAATAATTCTTTTAACTGTGAACTTAGAGTTTTGTGGGACATTTAATAACATTAAACACTCATTCTGGTCATCTTTTAGGAATAGTACTTTCTCACTTTGGATACAAAATATTTGTTTGGAATCTTAACACATTTATTAATAGCAAAGGCCAGAAACATTTCCATCAAAATCAAGAGTAGGGACATGGGTAGTAGAAGTTCTAGCCAGTCAATGAGACTGAAAAGCAACAAATATAGTTATTAGAAGAGGAGATAACACAAAATTCTATAGGCAATATGATGATAGACCTCTACAGTTCTGAAAATAAACTATAAAACTTTTAGAATTAATGCAATTACATAAAGTAGAGAAGTGGGAAATATACATTTAGTGACTGTGATTGGAGGCTTAAGATATAATAGGTTCATTTCTTATGGCTAGCAAGAAACTGACATACTAAGAATAATGCAGATAAGAAATGTGTATTTTCAGAATTTCCTACAGTAAGTATGTATAGCTTTGTTGCCAGAAAATAAATAGTAAGATCTGAAGAAAGCAGAATATATTTTCAGTATTTAGAGGTAAGAAAATTCTGTTGTAGGAGCTCAAGCTCAGCTGAGTTTTGGTCAGTTGTAGGCTTTCCCAGATAACTCAGTAAGGGAATTTTAAATGCTTGACTTGAGAATTTCAGTTAGATGAAACATAATTAAAAAGCAACCAAAATCTCAACTATCTATATATTTCTAAGTATTACAGGGAGAAAAACTAGATTTGAAATTTCTTCTAAGAACATATTTAATTTTCTTTTTCAGCAGTTGTCTGATTAAAAGCTCTTTGGTAAAAATGAATAGATCTTGATACTTTTAATAAATGGCTCCTAATACAATTTTGTTACTGAGGACTTGGAGTGTTCTATCA